TTAGACATAAAGACACGTTGAAGGTTGAGGAGGGCAGATGTATTAAGCAAAAAGAAAGCCCACAGCAAAGAAAGAAGGGGTCCTGCCAACAGGCTCCCAAGTCACAGAGTGAATACTAGGCCACCACCCCATTTTTCCAGGGTGCATGCAGGCCCCTAGTCTGTTGCGGGCGTGCCCAGGTAAGACCCTGTGTAGGTTCCTTTAACTGCCTCTTGCATCTATCACTAAGTTATATGGCAACTCTATGTTTACCTATTAAAGGAGCTACCAGGAAGTTCAACCAAGCAGCTGTGCCATTTTACATTCAACCAGCAGCGTATGAAGATTCTCATTTCTCCATATCTTTGTCAACACTTTTTATCTGACTTTCGAATTATAGCCAATCTAGTGGATATGAAATGGTGTGTCACTGTATAATAGAAGGTTTTTTAAATTGACACATAATAGAGATACGTATTTTTAGAGTACATGTGATATTTTGCTGCATATAATGTGTAAAAATCAAATCAAGGTAATTGGGGTATCCATCATCTTGAACATTTATCTTTTCTTTATGCTGGAAACATTCAAATTCTTCTCTTCTAGCTACTTTGAAATACACAATAGGTTATTGTTAACTGAGGTCTTTCTTTTTAATTCCCTAAGAACTAATGATATTTAGTATTTTTTAATGTATTTATTGGTAATTTGTTTATTTTCTTTGGAAAAATGTTGATTCAACTCCTTGGCCCATTTTTTAATTGGGTTTGTTTTATTGAGATTTAAGTATGCTTTATATTCTAGACACAACTCTCTTGTTAGATATAAGATTTGCAAAAATTTTCTCCCATTCTGTGGGTTATCTTCACCTTCTTCATGGTGTCCTTTGAAGCACAAACGTTTTAAATCGACTAAGTTCAGTCTATCTATTTGTAGTTGTTGTTCTTCATGGTTTTGGTGTCATGTTTATGAATCCATTGCCAAATACAAAGTCATGGAGATTTATCCCAATGTTTTATTCTAAGAGTTTTATAATTTTGCTCTTACATTTAGGTCTTTGATCTGTTTTGAGTAAATTTTTATATAAGGTGTGAGGTAGGAGTTCAAATTCCTTCTTCTGCATGTGGCTATCCAGTTCTTCCAAGATCATTTATAGAAAAGACTATGCTTTTCTTCACCTAATGGTCTTGATACTCAACAAAAATCAGTTAACCATAGACACATGGGTTTACTTCTGAACTCTCAATAGAAACTTCATAATTCTATTCCATTGATTTATATGTTTATCCTTAGGTTTCACTTACTTGATTGAAGTTTCTTGGTAGTAAGTTTTGAAATTCAGAAGTTTGAGACCTCAAACTTTATTCTTTTTTGTCAAGATTGTTTCAGCTATTCTGTATTCCTTGAAATTTCATCTGAATCTTAGAGTCAGTTTGTCAATTTCTGCAGAAAATCCAGGGATGATTCTGAATAGGGATTCTGTTGAATCTCTAGGTCAATTTGAAAGTATTGTGATCTTATCAATATTAAACCTTTAGATCCAAGAACAGATGTTTTTCCATTTATTTATCTTCATTAATTTTTTCAACAATGTTTTGTAGTTTTCACAATATAATTTTAGCATTCATTTTGTTAAATTTATTTCTAAATATTTTATTTGTTTTGATGCTATTATAAATAAAATTGGCTTTTTAATATTATTTCAGATGGCTCACAATTTATCTTTACATATTGACCTTTATCCTGAAGCCCTGCTATAATTGTTTATTAATTCTAATAGCTTCTAAATTCCTTAGGATTTTCTGTATGTAAAATCATGTCATCTGCAAATAGAGATCGTTTTACTTCTTCCTTTTCAATCTGAATGTCTTTTACTTGTTTTCTTTGCCCGATTGACCTGGCTAGAACTCCCAGTATCATGTCAAATACAAGGGCAAAAGCAGACATCTTGGTGGGTTTTTTTCCTACTCTTAGTGGGATGGCAACCAGTCTTTCACCACTAAATATGACACTAGCTATGGGTTTTTGTTGGTGCCGTTTATCAGATTGAGGGAGTTCTATCCTTTTTCTTGTCTTTGAGTGTTCTTATCAGGAAAGGGAGTTGGATTTTGTTAAATGCCTTTTCTGCATCTATTGAAATTATCATATCATTTTTGTTCTTTGTTCTATTGATATGGTGTACTATATTAACAATTGATTTTTAAATGACAAACCACTTGCATTCCTGTGATAAACTCCACTTGGTCATGTTATGTAATTCTTTTTAAATGTTGCTAGGTGTAGTTGGCTAGTATTTTGTTGAGGAGTATTCCATGTATATTCATAAAATATATTGGTCTATAATTATTTTGTAATGCTTGTGTCTGGTTTTTGTATTAGTGTGATATTGGTTTTACAGAATAAGTTGAAAAGTGGTTCCCCCTCATATATTTTTAAAGATTTTCTTTTTAAATGGTATTAATTTTTCTTTAAATGTTTGGTAGAATTCACCAGTGAAAACATCTGGGCATGAGCTTTTCTTTCTGTATAGTTTTGTTTGTTTGTTTTGCTTTATTTTGCTTTTACATATTCAATCTCTTACTTATTCCATGTCTATGGAGATTGCCTTATTAAGTGTGTTTTATAATAATAGCTTGTGTCTTTCTAGGTATTTGTCCATTTCATCTAAGTTATCTAACTTATTGGCATACAAATATTCATAATATTCCTTCATAATTCTTTATTTTTCTATAAGAGAAGTGGTAATATCTTCTCTTTCATTTATTTTCTTTTTCTTTCCTTTTCTTTCTTTCTTTCTTTTTTTTTTTTTTTTTCTGAAACAGGGTCTCACTCTTTCACACAGATGGGAGTGCAGTGGTGTGATCATGGTTCACTGCAGCCTCGACCTCCCAGGCTCAAGCAATCAATCCTCCCACCTCAACCTCCTATGTAGCTCAGACCACAGATGTACATACCATGCCTGGTTAATTTTTTTATTTTTTGTAGAGACGGGATCTCCCTATGTTACCCAGCTTCATCTTGAACTCCTGAGCTCAAGTGATCCTCACACCTCAGCCTTCCAAAATTCTGAAATTACAGGCATAAGTCACTGTGCTGGCCCTTCTTTCATTTCTAATTCTTGTAATTTGAGTCTTCTTTTTCCCATGTCAATCTGATTAAAGGTATTCTCTGTTTTAACTTTTCAAAGAACTAACTTTTGTTTTCCTTGATTTTCTCTATTTTTTTTAAATTCTCTATTTCATTAAGTTCCACTCTGATCTTTATTATTTTTTTCCTTTTATTAATACTTGCTTTAAGTTTAGCTTACTTTCCTTTTTCCATTGTCTTATAGTGGAAAGTTAGATTATTCATTTGAGATCTTGTTTATAAAATATGAATATTTATAGCTATAAATTTTCCTCTCAGCACTACTTAAGCAGCATTGCACAAGTTTTCATATGTTGTGTCTTGATTTTTATTTGTCTTGAAGTATTTTCCAATTTCTCTTGGGATATATCTTTGACCCACTGATTATTTAGGAGTGCTTTGTTCGATTTTCACATATTTGTGAGTTTCCCAAATTAATTTATGCTATTTATTTCTAACATCATTCCATTATGACTGGAGAATATACTTTAGATTACTTCTATACTTTTAAATTTATTGAGATTTGTTTTACGGTCTAGTATTCGGTTTGTTTTTGAGAATGTTCTATGTGTACTTGAGAAGAATGCATATTCTTTTTTTATTTGGGTGGCATTTTCTATAGATGGCTGTTACATCAAGTTTGTTTATAATGTTGAAGTATTTTGTTTTCTAGTTATCTTCTGCCTAGCCATTCTATTCATTATTTAAGTCTCCAACTATGATTGTTGAATCGTATATTTCTCCCTTCATTTCTGTGAGTATTGCTTCGTATATTCTGGTTATCTGATGTTAGGTGTACATATGCTTATAATTGTTATATCTTTCTGATAGACTGACTATTTTTGAGGACTTTGGCCTATGAGGGTATAGCAAAATTTATAGTATTATCCTGTCTGCAGTGGTCTTATTCAACTTTTTCATTATTTAGTTCCTTAAGAGGAAGTAAACATCTATTTTCATTCAAACATGCCATCTCCTTTGAAACTGAAGCCATTATAAGGAATAAATTGGCATTTTGTTCCACAAAGAAAACTAAAAAATAAGACAACGCTTTGATCTTGAATATAGAAAGCAACGAAGTCAATTATTTTGGTATACTGATTACGATCATTTTAGTAATAAATGAGTCTGGTTTTTCTGTGCAAATCTGTGATACATTAATATCTTATTAAATGGTAAAGTCAACTGAAAATGCTAGTTAACAATCATAACATTAGGAAAAAATAGAAGCAGAAAATCTCTGCTGATGTGGTACCATTAGATGAAGTTTTATATCTTTAAAAAAAAAAACCACACACATATGGTTGATCAGAACTATCTCTGACATCAAGAAACAAAGTAAATGCTTGATAATATGCTCAACTCAATTATCCAGTTTTTCTAACTCCTGCACATATTTCAATAATGAATGTCACATTTATAAATCATTTTGGAAAGTACATATTCTGAGTAATGAGAAGTTGATAGTTTAAGGTTATTTCCACATATTGTCTATTGTAAATAGTACTTCAATGAACACAGGAGGACTTTTATCTCTTTGAGATCCTGATTTCAATTCTTTTAGGTAAATACTAAGAAGTGGTATTGCTAGATCATATGGTAGTTCTATTTTTAATTTTTTTAGGAACCTCCATACTGTTTACTCTAGTAGCTGCCCCATTTTTCGTTCTCACCAACAATAAGCAAGGGCCCCAATTTCTCCACATTCTTGGCAACACTTGTTGTCTTTTCTGGATAGCAATAAATTTGACAGCAGAAAATTAATTTTCTTGGTGTATTAGTCCGCATTCTCCAGAGAAACAAAACCAATATGATGTGTGCATGTGTGTGTGTGTTTATCAGAGAGAAAGAAAGAGAGAGAGAGAAATTTATTCTAATAAATTGGTTCACAGTTATGGAGGCTGAGAAGTTCCAAGGTCTGTAGTTGGAAAACTGGCGGTTCAGGAGACTCGATTATATAGTTCAAGTCTGACTCTACAGGACTGAGGATGAGGTGGGCTAATGGCATAATTTCAGTTTGTGTCTGAGTCTGAAAACAGGAAAAGACCAACGTCCCAGCTCAAACACAGAGCGTAAGTCTCCCTTACACTGCCTTTATTCGGGCCTTCAACAGATTGGATGAGGCCCACCACACTGGGGAGGACAAGCTGCTTTACTCAGTCTTCTGGTTCAAATGTTAACCTCATTCCAAAATGCCCTCATAGACACACTCAGAATAAACACAGTTTATGGCTCAGTCAAGTTGACACATACAATTAACCACTATACTAGGTGTCTTAGTGGAACGGAATGCAGAATGCACTAAGTAGCCCCAATGATAACCCAAGAACTTTTATTTTCCAGAAACAGAGAACAAAATCCCCCATTTTAAGTTTATACAATTAAGGTGATACTAGAAATAAAAGATTGATAGCTCCTGGGCCCTCAGAAGGGAACAAAGTGTCCAGTTCATATATGAATTTTCAGTAACATTCAAATTTTTCCAAGTTCTTAAGATCGGCATTAAATACAAAAGTGACAGTGTCTGTATGTATTTAGTTCTCTGGTAGGAACAAAAACCATAATACTAACATTCACTTTGGTACAAAATTAATTTTTCCAATTATTAATTCTTTATTATATAAGTTTATAATTATAATACTGTAACAGACCTGTTGTTCAAGGTTTAGAATAAGCAAAATCTCAAAAACAATGACAGCACCATATATTATTTTATATTTGTTGTGTGTGGCTTCAAATGGCTTTTCCTAGTTTCCTTTACTTGATGAAATTACCATTTCCTTGAATCATTTATGGCTTTTTATCTGTTATAGAATTTCAAACTCAGTACATTCATAAGATCCTTAGAATTTCAGGCCCAGTACATGCTTAAGAAACTTTAGTTTAGCTATCTCCAGGAAGTCTTTCTAAATTGTGACCGAAAATACATTCCTAATATCTGAGATCATGAGTTTTTCTCAATATGATTAGAAGGCAGTCAAAATAAAGTCTAAACAAGATAATTTTTAGACATCTTTTGAGATCAGCATATAGACGTTATTCCTCATTTCTTTGTAAAATTGAATACTACCCCAATATGCAGATGTACTATAATTTAGCAAGCTCCATGTTGATATACATATGGATTCCTTCTCCATTTTTTTTTCCTATTTGTTGATAAATTCAAGTTGTTTGTCCTGTGGAATTCCCTAGGATCTAAATTTTGATGATGTCATCTCTTACTTCTTGTTTAGCATTTTCCCTTATTCTTTATGTTTCTTGAGTTAGTGGATAGATTTTTTTTTCCCCAAACCATACTGAAAACGTTGGAAGTAGCTATATTTTAAAGGTCTGATCAAATTTCAGCTTGATTTCTGAAAGGATTATTCTTAGTTAATGTTTCATACTTCAACTAGGTGGTATATAATTGTCTGTTTGACTCTTTTTTGTGATTTTAGCAACTATTGAGGATCAATGCCTCTATCCATTAATTAGAAGTTACAAAATTGTTCTATTCTAATTACATCACACTTTCCCCATTTATTGGCTTGAATAAAAAGAAATTTACTCTCACTATTTGGTTATGCTCAGGTATAGATTATGTAGGAAATGCAGAATAAATGAATGATTATCAGTTTTCAGAGTAATGAGTTGTTCAAAAGAGGACAATGAAAAATTTTGGGGTTTTTTTAGTATCATTTTGACTTCATGGATTTAAATATATCTGATGTATTTCAACCCATTGCAGTTAGTATTTCTTCAGTGATTTTCAAATTTCACTTGTTTGACAGTGGGAGGCTGTTTAAGTTGACTCAAGGGTGCTTTTGATACAATCCTAGTAATCCTTGATAGCTTCTTTGGTTTATGTTATAACAAGAGATTCCAGACTCATCTTGAGCAATTTCTGTCTTAGATAGGCCTGGAATCAGACATTTTCCTAAGAGGCTCTGGTTTCTTTATGAATAAATAAAATTTAGACACTTAGAGTATGTCAGATGGGTGCATTGCTACTAGACAAGTTAATTTAACAGTTTTTCTTCCACAGGGTCAAAAAAAGCACTGACTGCCTGATACCAGAATCACTATACTTGTGAATTATATTTCTCTGTAAATTGGTTTTTAAAAAGTACACATAAGTCTTCTATAGTTTCTGCTGAGATCTGATGGAAAGAATACTAGTTGAGGTTTCAAAAGTAAAGGTTTAAATCCTGGGAACTTCTGTGTGATATTAAGTAAGTCATTTCACTATTCTGAGTCATACATAATTTCTTGTACTTCAAAATAGAAATATTACCTATCACAGCTTTTATGAGAACCAGTATTGAAAGTACTTCATAATAACAGCTAACATTTCCTAGAATGTTTTATGTGCCAGCCTTTGTGCTATGTTACCTAGTTTATATCATTAAATCTGTATAAAAGGACAAAAAAATTTTTTTAATTATTATTATTAATTATCTCCCTCTTATAAGGGAGAGCACCAAAGATTAGAGTGACTGGTATCTTGCTGTTTCTATAAAGGAAATTTACAATGATCCCAAGAAGCCGAGGTCATCAAGCAGAGCAGGAGGTAGATTTCCTATCCAGGAGCAGTGAGCCAAAGTAAATACACAGGTAATCTACAGCTGCAAAATGTGAGAAATGACTGAACATAACCAGTAGTAGCAGACCAAATTAAGAAAAATGTTTAAATGCATTAAATTTATGCTTAAAATTAGAACAAGTATATTTGAATTCAATTACAAGAAGAGGAAGACAAAGTTATGATAGAAAGAAAACTCAGCAACTGGGATTACAAACTGGGCTCTTTTACAAACTCGTCATTTGAATTTGTCAAGAGATTTATTCTCTTCAGGTCTCAATTATTCACAGGGGAATGAGGATATATGATTGTACAAGCTAATCTGTTAGGATAAAAATAGAACAGTAATGCTTGAGGAGAACTTTATAATAACTCACTATTGATGTGCAGAGTTAAAAATAATTACAACGTATTTATAGGTTCTACCAATTCAGGTTTCTGAATCACTCACTAATTCCTTCATTTAACAATACTTGTTGAAGACCTACTGAGGTCTGAGCAGAGACTCAGAGTTGAAAAGAACGCACCTGGATTTCAAATGTTTCACAGAAAAACAGAGGTGAAGAAGGAGGTTGAATCAACTATAATTCCTTCTACAGCAGCGTCATGTTTATTTTGAGTTTACCTTTCAAGTAGATTGTCTCCAAAAGAAGGAAGTCCTATCAATTAAACATGACTCTCAAGAGAACAACATAATGTGTATAAGTGATTTTAAACAGAATATAGCATCAAGAAGTGAAAATTGCCCAAGACCCCGTTTTATCCTGCACTTTTCTGTTACTTTGGTAGTCAAGAGTTGGTTGAGGCTGGGTGCAGTGGCTCATACCTACAATCCCAGAACTTTGGGAGGCTGAGCAAGAGGATCTCTTGAGCCTAGAAGTCCGAGGCCGGCCTGAATAACAAAACAAGACCACATCACTACAAAAAAATAAAATAAAATAAAGTCAGTTGAGGATCAACAGCAGAGTCCAAGTATGCAAGGGGTATGTTATTCCATTTACTCCTCAGAATAATTAATTGAGGTAGGAGTTATATTACTGATTTTCAGATAACAAAACAAGGACTGTAGGTAACTTTCCCAAGGTCACACAATCAGATACGTAGTGAAACCATGATTCAAATTAGATGCAAAATGACTCTAAATTCCCCATTCAAAAGTCATATATGGGAAGGGGAAAGCAAAAATATCTAACATTTTGCATAGACCTCTTTTTCAATAGCACTTCTGGGCCCCTTAAATGTCACTTTTTCTACATAATGATTTTTGCTTGCAAAAGTCACCAACTACATTTTTACTAATATGGCTCCAGCTTCCAGATCTACAGCAGTGTCAGCGTAGGTCAACATGAATATTATCCCAAAGCCTTCACAGTATTCAGACTGCCAGGGTCTGTGAAGGAAGGACTCAAAGTGCCATCTTAGAATTGGTGCTTGGTAGGTCGGGAATGACTCCCCCTTACCTCAGTCTCTGGCCCCTCATGAGAAGCCATGCCAGGAATGGTTCTGCACTCAATGAGTCCAAGTGGGAAATAGAAACCTAGTGTGAACTCGAGGCTAGAATAGAAACTGCAGTTAGTCCTCTTCAATGGACCAGTTGACCAGGTGACCCCTTCTGTTAAATCAGATGATTACTTAGTAATGTGTCCTTAAATAAACTGCCAACTTGAAAAAAAAGTCTTTGAAATGAGTAATTTAATATTTTATGTATAATTTTATGTATGTACATTCATGTAAAGACTACATTATACTAGTTTTAGTTTAAATGCAACTTAAATGTTCCAATAAAGAGGAAGTGTACATTGACTTTACTCCAGATCTGATTTCCTAGCCAGATTGGAGGCAAATAAAATAATATCTTTCTGTTTATGTTAAGTGACATACATATGTCTACTTATAATACCTCTCAGTAGAATTCATAAGAGAAAAAAATTGTCATAAGTTACATCCTTCTTTAAATGACTACGCTAGAGACCACACAATTCCCTTTAAACTCAATTATCTCACAAATGAATGCTTCGATAACTTGCTAAAAGCAGTAGACAAAGTGTCATTAGTGAACCAGGAGAAGGGGAAACCCCAGAACAGCCATCAGCCGTCTTTACTTCTCTGCAATCAGCTCCTTCATATCCCTGATAACAATGACAGGAAAATGTATCTGCCATCACTGCCAGGTCTGCATCAGATGCTCTTCCTTTCACAGTAAATTCCCCATCCTCAGAGGCCTCTATGTGGTAACTTGCAGGGTTCAAGTGAAGGTAAGTGGGTGAGTTCCACATCTTCCTTATGCACCTCCCGTTGTTCCTGCAGAGGTGAAAGCTGCATACCTCAGCAGCTCTGGTCACATTGGCTATGTAGCTCCCTAAATCAGAACTCACAAACTGCTTCACCTTTGTACAGTTGGCCTAAAAATGTGGAAAGAAATTGATTTTAGTGTTTCTCACTGATAGAAATGTAGAAAGAAATCGATTTTAGTGTTTCACGCTGTTACTGATAGAATTAGAGCTTCTAGAACAGTTCTTTGGTCTTGATTAAAACATAATGGCTTGGTTCCAGTTGTTGAACTTGTAGGCTCCTGGGCACTATAACAAGGATCCCAAATCAGAAAGGGGAGAGGTCTGAGGGGCGGGAGATGGATACTATGTTACAGTCAGGTTAAGCAACTGAACTTGCAAATGGCCCCCAGAATCAGCACATGGGACCTTGCCTTTCTCCAATTTACATTCTTTTTTTCTTCCTTCTAGCTCCCAAGTTAATGGGTATAAAAGGAAAAGGAACAAACCCAAATTAGGAATCTACCAGAACTGCTGCCCTCAGGCTACCATTCAGGTATGTGGGGCCTTCCATGGTTGTGTTACAGCCTGAATCGCAGTCTGTCATTTATTGTCAAATCATCTTATTCCACCATTCTACCGAGTATTATAGCCTTCTGGACTTTCCTGTTAATTTCCATCAACTGTCCTGGGTTCTGTACTTCTAACACAATTCAAACACAGAAAAGTCTATGGCTGACTAGGTAACTTTTGTGTATATGGTTCCTATTACCTGTTCTAAACAGAGGCCATCTGTGTGCACCCACCTTCCTGATGAAGCTCTTCTGATGAGCCACCAAGGGGCTGGGGTGGAAATATCACACCTGGAAAGTCAGGAATTAATCCTCTGAGTTTCTTCCTAATTCTCATATGTGGGCATAGGCATAAACAGTTTCATGAACATTATCTCAGTAGCAACAAATTGAGACTATGAAATTCTAAGAATAATATCAGATCATCATGGACTTGCAAAAACCTCAATTTAGCAAAAAGTGTCAAGGGTGCCAGTATTCAAGGTAAAATGCGTTACACTATAGAAATATAAACAAACTACATCTGGAAATATGGAAGAGATTGTAATTAATGGGGATTGGGGAAAACTAAGAATCTTTCCTGAAGTAAAAAAAATATCTCAGCTGAGAGAAATTTGAAGAGCCATAGAAATCTTTTTCTTTTTCTTTTTCTTTTTTTTTTGAAATGGAGTCTCACTCTTTCATCCAGGCTCAAGTGCGATGGCATCATCTTGGCTCACTGCAACCTCTGCCTCCCGGCTTCAAGCCATTCTCTTGCCTCAGCCTCCCAAGCAGCTGGGATTACAGGCATATGTCATCACACTCGCCTAATATTTATATTTCTAGTAGAGATTGGCTTTCTCCATGTCAGTCAGGCTGGTCTCGAACTCCTGGCCTGAAGTGATCCCACCTCCCAAAGTGCAGGAATTACAGGTCTGAGACGCCGTGCCCAGCCATAAATCTTATTTTAAATGCTGTTAATTTTTAGCTGATTTCTCTGTAGAGAAAAAATAACTTCATTGTGGAGAATTAAAAAGTTACCACCTGTTTCTACCTCTCAAAATAGTATATAACACATTTTCTATAGTCGTTAAAATGCAAGGTGTCCATCATCAAACTGTGGCTAATGCCAGCTCTACCACTAACTATCCTAAATAGCTGTTAACCTAGTTGGTTTCCTCTCTAGTTTCACCATCTGTAAATGAGGACGATGGTCACTACCTCATATGACCAGGAAGTGAGCAAATCCGACTCAAAAAATCTCTTAGCACAATCTTAGTGTATCATAAATATTCATCAAATGTCAGTGTTATGATTACTATCTTTATAAAAGTTAATATTTTTTAGCCTTTTCTATGTATCAGGCATTGATTTGGAATATTTATTCTAAAGCTGGTTTGCTATGGAAGTCATGAGAGCTTTATTAGAGTAAGCTCTCCAAGAAAGCAGAGAAATACTTTAAAAAAAAACATTAAATATACCTTCAAGATACTGACTTACCTTGGATGAAGTTAAATTCATGTCTCCCCAAATAACAATGCCTGCAGCTCCCAAGGCAGCACTTTCTCCTATGGTGCTGACTAGATCTTGCTAGATTGAAGAGAGTAGAGTTCATTATTAATTTGAATGTAAAACAACTCACCGGGAGCCAGGTGTGGTGGCTCACGCCTATAATCCCAGCACTTTGGGAGGCCGAGGCGGGTGGATCACAAGGTCAAGAGTTTGAGACCAGCATGGTCAACATGGTGAAACCCCATCTCTACTAAAAATCAAAAAAAAAAAATTAGCCAGGCGTGGTGGTGGGTGCCTGTAATCCCAGCCACTCACAGGCTGAGGCAGGAGAATCGTTTGAACCCAGGAGGTGGAGGTTGTAGTGAGCCGAGATCACACCATTGCACTCCAGCCTGGATGACAGGGCGAGACTCTGCCTCAAAAACAAAAACCAAAAAACCCACCAGGGATTAGGATTAGAGTCTGAGTTCAGTATAATAGGTCTGGTACTGAGCTCATATACTCCTTAGATACTATTTTCTATTTTCTTAGAGTGACACAAACGCTGAATAAACCAATGCTCAAAAATCACACTCTGTAACCATGTGCAAAAACATAAAAATATTTTTAAAGAAAAACATATTTTGCTATGCAGGATGTTATTTTGAAGACAATGAGTCTGTAAATGGTTATCAGAAATTATTGAATTGAAAGAAATCAGGGGCACATACCCACACACCAGGTCATATGTATGTGTTCCAGAAACTGAATCCAGAAGTTTTCCTTCTCCGAATGGGATCCTCTTAACCAGGTTCCTTTTCCATTTTGCAGCATGCCCCAGTAACACTTCATCCCCACAGTTATTCGGATGGGTTTATATCATTTCAATTCCAAGGCCAGGCAAAGAAGCAACGTTAAGGGCTTGCAGGCTCTGATTTGGTCCAGCTTTTATATTTGTCCCTGAAATTATGTGTGTTTAATTTCTAAGTATCTGGCCTAACGGGCTTTATTTATGACTCATCCAGTCATGGTAAAGTCGCTGGAATTTTCTGCAATATGGTTAAGATAGACAAAGGTAAGGTTTTAGCAGAGAGAATTTTGATTTTATAATCTTAAAGGGTTATTGTTTTAGTGTTTAAAGATTAACATGGATCTAGGCCATTTTCTGGAGGAAATTAAGATTTGAATATATGTAGTTGATTTCCTGGTTTGTTAAATTATAACACATTCCCCCAATCTTTAGGATACTAAGCATTCACCTTTTACTCCAAGGGTGAATTTCTACCAATTAAATGCTAGAAAATGTTATTAGGTGATTTGGTGGAAAACAAAAGAAGAACTGTAAATGCTATTTTGCCATTGGGCACTTAATATTAATACTTGAGAGATAAATCTCTTTATCTGATACTTTTATTGTCTAACACTCAAATTAAAGGTTTTACAAGATCATTTTTTAAAGTTTTTGTTTGTTTGTTTGTTTGTTTCTGGGCAATTGTCTTGTGACTTTCAACAAGGAAAGAGATTTTGGGTTAAACTAATTTCCCTTTCAGGTTAACATCCATTTTCATTTCATACGATTACAATATCTGCTGAACAGACCATAGCTGACATGACAGGAAGGAGAGGCTCAAATGAGATAATATAAATGAAAGAATTTTGAAAATTGTCAATGGCACGATGAACAGGGACAGAGAAGGGGCCATCTCTGCAGTACCAAGACTGAAGACTGCTGAGTCCGTGTCCACTCCCTCTTTGGGCAAAGACATAAGGGAGCAGAACTCCTCACTCCCCTCACTTTGAAATTTCCCTGAAAATAGTGTCATACAGTCACATGGTGTGATCAGGGCAGAAATCCCCATCAGTTCTCCTTTTGATTAAGGCATTGTCATCAAAGGAGAATAAAGACATAACATTTACATTTTATATTTATAGGCTATTGAACTATAGTAAGTATGTAAGTGGCAGATGTTTCTGGTGAAAGCCACACACACCTTCTGAGGTTGCTGTCAGTTTCTTCCGAATTAGTTTTCAAATCAGTTTCTCACCAAATTAGTTCACTGTCACCTCACAGAGAGCAGGGTGCTGAATGAATCACAAAGCAGCTATGTTTTGGGGATCAGAAAAGCAAGGGCACTACCCAGCGAGGAAAGTCACAGATAAAAGTGCCTCTGGGTGCAGATTGGGACACCTGAAAGCTTGAGCCATGAGGGTGTTGTCACATTAAGGAGAAAGAAAGGAACAAAGAAGATGTACTGAAAAGGAGCCTCCCAGGACCCAGTGTGGCACAGGGTGCTTTGTGCCTACACAGGATCCTCCGACCTGAATCATGGTTTCAGAAGCAGAGGGTAGGGCTACTCAGGGGACTCACTCAACACTTCCGTGTCAGTCCCTGACGCTTACCGGAGTGCATGTAAGCAAGGTGCCCACTGTGGGGAGCTGGAGCATTACTAATGAGCTGCCTTTGTGCCTCACCGGAGACAGAATGAATTAATGACAAGGATAAACATCTTTAAATCTATAGGCAAGGAAACTCCTCTTGTTAATTTTTAAAAGCATATCTCACAGATGGAACAGGAGGCCATTATCTTAAGTGAAATAACTCAGAAACAGAAAGTAAAATATCACATGTTTTTACTGGTAAGTAGGAGCTAAATGATGAGTAAATATGGACATACAGAGTACAATAATAGACATTGGAGACTCCAAAAGATAAAAGGGTGGAGGAGAGTGAGGGATAAGAAATGACTTGTCGGGTAAAATGTACGCTTTTCAGGTGATGGGTACACTAGAAGCCCAGACTTCACTACCACTCAATATATCCATGTAACAAAACTGCACTTGTACTCCCTAAATGTTTACAAATGGAAAACTAAAAATAAATAATCAATGTTTTAAGAGCATAGCATCAGGTTATATCTAGGTTGCATTCATATGTAAATAATATAGGCAATCTTCTGTGTGAAATGAGGCTTGACTGCCTCTGTATTCCCCAAGCTATAGCTACTGCCTGAGATTCCACTCTTAAATATCCCATGCTTAAGTTTAAGGCTTTGATGGCTGTTAAAAAAGTAATAGCCATACCACATAGGTTTCTGTAGAACTTCAAGGTTTTCATATGCAAGTTCTCATTTGATCTTCACCATATTTTTGCTAGGTCAGTAGGGCAGGTAATATTGTCTCATTTTGTACATGAAGACACCAAATCCAGGGAGGTTAAGAGATTTACTACTTACTAGTGAATCTTCTTTGTAATCTTAACTGTATGTGTGTGCATTCTAAAATTCAGACATTGTTGGGAAAATCAGAAATGGAAGCCATTAATGGTCATTAAGAGTTTGGTACAAATGAATATCAGGCTTTTTAAAAATTATGGGCAGGATTCTTCTAGGACTCGTCCTTTTCATTCAACTGTCTCTAAGATTCACACGTATTGAGATATGTTGTTGTAATTCATTCATTTTTGCTACTTTGTTTAATTGAATTAAATATGTAAAAGTTCAAAAAAAGTTAAAAAAATAAAAATAAATAAAAGTTAGATGTTGAGCTTTAAAAAAAAAAAATTATAGGCAGGGCCAGGCACAGTGGCTCACGTCTGTAATCCTAGCACTTTGGGAGGCCAAGGCGGGTGGATCTCTTGAGGTCAGGCGTTCGAAACCAGCCTGGCCAACACAGCAAAACCCCGTCTCTACTAAAAACCCAAAAATTAGCTGGGCATAGCGGCGCATACATGTGATCTCAGCTACTCGTAGGCTGAGGCAGGAGAATCACTTGAACCCGGGAGGCAGAGGTTACAGTGAGCCAAGATGATGCCACTGCACTCCAACCTGGACGACAGAGGGAAACTCAACTAAAAATAAATAAATAAATAAAAATAAAAATTATGGGCAGATTTTTAAAGTCAATAGGGTACAATGGTGGGTACACTTATAGTTTAAAACACTTGGAAATAGCTTGCCACTTGGAAAAAAAAGAGTGCAGAATGAGATGAAACCCAAACTGTTGCTCCTTTTTTCCTGAGAGGGAAAAGAGAATTTCCGAGGCTATAGCTACTAGAAAAAGAAGCTTATCCCAGGTTCACAGAATGTGCAGAATGTCCCGGTAGTCTAAATTCATCTTTTGAAATGAACATTTTGTCCCATAGAGTTTATTGTTTCTTCTAAAAGTCAATTTATTATCACTAAAGAAAGGAACTTGGTTGAGTCAAATATAGAACAGATGTTTTATAAAAGAAGCTGGTATTTTAATTTTGATTCAATTCTAGAGTCAACATTATTTTGTGAAGATTTAGATTACTTTCTTTCTTTTTTTTTTTTTTTGAAATTGAGTTTCACTCTGTTGCCCAGGCTGGAGTGCAGTGGCGCAATCTTGGCTCACTACAACCTCTGCCTCCCGGATTCAAGCAATTCTGTGTCTCAGACTCCCCAGTAGCTGGGATTACAGGCACCCGCCACCACACCTGGCTAATTTTTCTATTTTTAGTAGAGATGGGGTTTCAATATCTTGGCCAGGTTGGTCTTGAACTCCTGACCTCATGATCCACCTGCCTCAGCCTCCCAAAGTGCTGGGATTACAGGCATGAGCCACTGCACCCAGCCTAGGTAACTTTTTAAAATCTTTCAGACTGTACTGACTTCCTATTCTTCTTCATAAATTATTTATCACTGATTTTTCTAGGTGGTATGAAGAGAAGTTCACAATAGAGACTTTATTTCCTTCCTCCTTCACCTCATGAATGACCTCAGAGGTATGGCACTTACCATATTTCATACATATGCATCATTTCTCCCTCTGATGAATACACTCCATTTATGTTCCAAAGATACCTGGTCACTGTAAAATACCTCACCTGGGTATTTTCTATTCCTCCTCCTTAGGATGCCTAGAAGTCAGTGTCAGGCCTCCGAGCCCCAAGCTAAGCCATGTATCCCCTGTGACCTGCACATATAGGTCCAGATGGCCCAAAGCAAGTTAAGAATCACAAAAGAAGTGAAAATGGGTGGTTCTTGCCTTAACTGATGACATTACACCACAAAAGAAGTGAAAATGGCTGGTCTCTGCCTTAACCGATGATATTACCTTGTGGAATTCCTTCTCCTGGC